TCAAAGGAAGCCAGGGGCTGAAAAAAGAACAAGTTCAGCACCATCCACTCAAAAGGGACACGGTCCAGGTCTCGGCTTGACCAGTGCAGACTAAGGCAGCCTGCGTTTGTCTCATTCCCTGGCGGTGGAACCGTGAATCAACAGCTTGAAGGTCAGGGCTACATCTCTTATGAATTCACGGGAGGTGGTTGACAGTTGCGCAAGCGCATTCAATGCTGCCACTTCTTGCAGGTATGACTCGAGGGTCACTTGACTGCGCAGTCTCATCAGCCACAACAAATCAGCTATGGGTCGACCATTCTTGTAGTGCATCACTGCAGCTCCTCCTCTGAGGCCTCCAGGTGTTAGGCCAGCCTTCTTAGACAACCCGAGGTCACCCAACAACAAATCCCACTTTTTCCTGTAGTGATACGGACTCTGAGGGTACAACGGCTCATCGAGGGGTTGCTTGCAAAAAACCATGGAAATCAAGCGGACTGCTAAGGCGTCATTCACCTTCATATGCTGCACTTTTGCTGCGACTCTTCGCAGCGACTTGAACTTCCTAAGTTGAAGAAAAATGACAAGACCTGTGTCACAAAGATCCTCAGGCAGAATCAGATCGCTTCGTTTGCAAGCTATCACTTCGCCCAGTCGGCCGGCACCATAAAAAGCAAGCAAAGTGATGCCAACCCAGGTGAACCAGCCTCTGTGCCAGGCTAAGGCGCACATTGCCTTGACAAGCACTTCTGGAACTGGGGTGCGATGCACGACTGGAATCTGCATTTCCCATCGATCCACAATCTCCCAAGCTGTCTGCATATACGGCCTGGCAGCCGGGCACCATCTTTGCGCAGCCAACAAAAGGCGTCGAAGATTAAAGAGAGAGCCCCCTCGCTGAAACATCAGATCTCCATAGCATCTCAAACACTGAGGTAGAGCTACAGGAACTTTTAAAAACAGCAAGAAGAAATCGCGGTCTCCAGTAGTCTCCGAGCACCATTTAAAGAACTGCTGAAGTACTCGGCTTTGGATTGCTATGGTGGCTGCACTTACTGTATTCACCTCCTCTAAAGAAAATTGCTGCATCGATCTTCTTTGCCGGGGCCCCGGCTTTCGAGCTTCTCCTGCACGAAGCGTTCCTATTTTGGCACAAGCTGCAACATTCAACCGGTCTTTCTTTGTCCAGCCAACACAAGTTGTCACCGCGGCAGCTAGCATCATGCAAAGACCCCGCGGGTATGGTTCGGCTATCTGTGTCCACGGCAGCTTCCTCACGTGGCATGTGCCACGAAGCTGAAGGTGAGTGAGGTCGTGCACACTGGCACCACATGCGGATGCCACCTAAGGTGGTGTTGGTTGCAATCCGAGTCGCTTTCTTCCAGCGGCAGCCAAAACGGCAGAAGCATAGGCGGAACAGCGCACTGCTTCTCGAATCCCGATACCGCCTCCAACGCTTCTGTCGCCACCACCACGAGGTGTCAGGGTTTTCGACCCACCAAAAAAACATGATGCCTTTCGCACAATGTTAGCAAATCGGCCAACCAGTCGTTGTGTGCATTGCCCTGCCGGACCTTTAGGCGCATCGATCGCCGAAGGCCCGGCATTCCTCTTGGAAATCTGGAACTTCTGACCGGAGGGGTAACCTCTACTGAAAAACTGGAACATATAGGCGCCGCCCCTAACGACAGCACTGCACCAGAAGAAATCAGCAGTTCTATCTTTGACCTCAGTCCAGCGTCAAGCAGGTCCTCACTAGGGCAGCGCTTCCAGTCAAAGGTGAGAACCCACGGGGCTCCCAATTTGACCATCTGCCGGGCAACTCCGGCTCGACCCGAAAAAAGATCTAGGGCTCCAGCTTTTGTAATGTCAGGCTCGCCATCATCTTTGCAGAAGAACTGATTCCTCTTAAACGAACGCAGGATGCTCAAAGCCTCAGGCCCAAAGGGGCAGGTCGCTGTGGTCCTCTCAGGTTTCAACTCTGATCTCTCATCGCTCACTGGGCCAGTCGACCGAGGCTTCTGTGACTTTCGTCTCTCAACACTGTTTGCACGCACCAGCTTTTGAGGTCGCAGGTCAACGTCTTCTTTCCCACATAGTTCACCCAAATCGACACCAACAAAGTCTGCAGGCGCTCCGTGACGACGCAGCCATTGCTCAAGCTCAAACGTGCAGCCCTCCTTGACAGAATCCCACCAATGAGGCTTCTCTTCGCTAGCAGGTCTGACTTCTCGCTGACGCGTGGGATCGTCAGCGGGGTTGAGAGCTGTGTCATAGTACATGTGCAGGCCGTAGATGTCACTCCCAAGGGCTGGTCCTAAAAACCTCCTCATCTCATTGTTTAGGGCACGGCTGGAAGAGCGTCCTTTCACAATGGCTCCTAGAGCTACTTGCGAATCCAGACCGGAGAGCACACGCACTGAACGATGCCTTGCAGCTACCCTCCTCTCTTCCCGCAAAAACGCCCGCAACTCCAGAACATTAATGTGAATCGGCCGGCCAACAAACTCACGCCAAGAGACTGTGTAGTCAAGGGCTGAAGCCATCACGTTCCAGAGGGGGTGCCCCTTGAAGCGTTCTCCACCTAGAGGATCCAACGTTGTACAAAGGACATCGTTCGCCACACCGTGCACCGTTGACCCATCAACGATGTCGTTGCACACAAAGCGATGTCGTGTGCATATGAAGCCAGAGTTGTTGAATATAGCCTTTGCCCTTATATGTGGCCACTTGCTATTCTTTTGCGATTGTGATTTCTGTGTTGGTGACCAACGACACCGGAGCGGTGCCCTGTGAAACAAACGACACCGGAGCGATGCCCTGTGAAACAAACGACATTAAGAGCGGTGCCGTCTGTCACAAAACACATCGGAGCGGTGTCGTAAGCTTCGCTACCATGAAAACTAAGCTGCGCAATCTTGCAAAAAAGGATGGCCCAAGAAATGCACTAGCCCTTGGTCCCTTGGTCCATGTTTTTTAATGCACACACGGCGTGTACAAGATGCTGACGTGGCAGCTCTCGAGCCTGCTTAAGATATACGAACAATATTTTGGGACAACTTTTATCGCGATTGTTTTGTGTGAATGTGTGGAGGGAACTGCTCCTACAGTTTTTGATGCGACGTTTCGGCGCCATGCCTCAAGTGAGGCCTTTGGGAACTTGGGGCCTCAAAGGTAGGCCACAAGATGGGTGGGAGAAGCCATCTAAACCTAACGCCACTTTCGTAACAGCATTGTGAAACACAACCCTTTGCAACAAAGAACATGGCCAACTGAAGCTTTGGGGGCATGACACAAACTAGACTAGCAGTAGTCACCTATAGTCACCTTTGAAGCCTTCACCTAGCCCCGCTGTGGCAGCGGCTCATGGCTGGCTTTTGCTGCGTGCGATTGCGCCGTGCCCCGGCCACATTCAAAGCTGAACCCCAAAATGGCACAATCCTTTGTTTTGGGATTATGCACTCCTTGTGCTCTTTTCTCGAGCCACCCCGATCGGCTTTGGCTTTGCCAAAACCAAAAAAGACGCAACAGCTGAAGTTGCTATTCAGCGTCGTGCAGGTACAATGAAAATCCAATTATGTATCGATCTATGACTCTTTTTTTGGCCATAGTCTTGCCGTGGCAGCCTGTAGCTACATTCTTGATGCGGCCTAAAAAGGCCTCATCGTCCCAACATGTGTGGAGGTTTTGGTTGACCCTGTACTTTCTAACCTCCCAAGCCTGATGCCAAAGAAAATGGTGTTTTGGTCGGATCTTGAAAAGATAAAGGCTTCGGCGCCAGTAGTGTTCTGCCAGCGTTTGGTACGTGGCAAGGTATTTGAACAAACAATCACTTGCCTCATTTGCTTCTTGCTGGGTCAAAATCATCCCACTTTGATCTTGGATCTCACAGAAGCGTGCCAAACTCCAGGTGTGCACAGCTAGCAAGCGAAGAAGTTCGTCCTTTGAACTTTGAAGAAAACAACTATAAGCTTTCTTAGTATTGTACTGTGCAAAGCTAGACTCGGCAAACTTTGTATCAGTCGTTTGATTGGAAATTGCAATGTCTCAGTTTCTGTATGCTTTTTCTCAAAACCAAGGTTCGTTTCCATGGTGAGCATCAGAAATTATTTGGCATTTTCGGGCCATGAACCATACTAGCTTGCGAACATGATCTCCTTTGAAAGCGCTCCCAAGTTCAGCGTAGTCCTCTTTCCCAAATGAATTGAGATTCTTGGGCGTCAGCCGTCGCCGTGGCAAGTACATCCTCGGGCGGCCAGCGTGCGCATGAAGACACATTAATTTATAGGTATGATATAGCAACCAGAGTACATACACCGATATAGAGAGGCCTCGTGTCCCTGTAAAGAAAAGAATACACAATGAACTGACATAGAGAAGCCTAGTGTCCCATGCTCTTTGCAAACTTTGCGCATTTCGATAGTGATACACGCTAAGATCTCAGATTCAGTAGCCCCATACTCATCAAGACAACCCTTCAAATGTAAAGCTTTCAACGCAGATGCTATTGTATCCTTCGCCACTCCAAGGAAGACGTTGTGAAGCAAATCAAAAACACATATGTCTATGCGCCAGCCCTCACAAACGTGCCAAGGTGAAAGGATGTCTCGCTCAGCCACACAGTAGAACTCATGGCTAATGCTAGACAGACTGTACGCAGCGTCTTTTGACAAGTCCTTGTAGTACATTCTTGGGTGGTTGGGTTTGAATTGCTCTGCGTGGCAGCTTTCACACATGTCAGTACATTTGTAATTGCGACGGAACCTGTGCATTTCTTTTCTAGCTTTCAGGTCACCTTTCATTGAAAAGAGCATTGCCCTGTAACCATACGCAAGCACTTTACCTTTGAGCTGGGCTCGAAAAGAACTCCCATCAAACTCCTCCCCATAGAACCCTCTCTCCGGCGCTAGACCAGAAGCAGTGTGCTTCAAACTCCAGGACACAAGCTTTGCAATCTCGGCGTTGCAGAAATCCCAAGAGTCCAAGAGACTTCTCTCCGGCAGAACTGCTATGGGTATTTTGGACACAAAGACATCGGTGGGACCTCCAAAGCATCCAAAAACAGATGAGAAGCTGAACACAAAATAACTGTCGTCTCGGTAAATCTCGCAGCCATCGCCATGGATGCTCAACCCAACCAACTTCCTCAAGTTGGTCCCTGCATCATTCAAGACAGGGTGTCGAGCCCATGGAGCGCAAAGCCTACAGTGCTTCCAGAAGTCCTCGATGCCATCAGCTGACATGTTGCCAAGTATCATCGAAGAAAACTCAGGGCAGGTTTGATCAGCTTTGCAAAAAAAACTTGGCTTAACTTTCGCAAGCCGGAGCCTTCTCGAAACTTTTCTGCGAGATTGCGTGCAAGACCTCGTGCGGCAACAAGACGTTGATCAATACATCTTCAGGACCGACAGCGTCGTCCACCTAGATGCACAGAACCGTACCGAGTGAACTTCTTAACTGGCCAGGCCGAACTGAATCAATCACGTGAAAAAGAAAACTGCTCACCACACTACAAACAAGTCGCAGTAAGCTTGAGTGTGATGGTGTACGGTTCTAAACACACGTTGTACATGCCCCGGAGCCACCGATGGAGGTTCCGTTCTGAGTTGGAATCCCACTTGCCGTTTGCACCCAAAGAAGCAATGGCATCGATGGCAGGAGCACTAAACTTGTCTTTCTGCATTTTGCGGGCAAGTCTAGCAGCTGCATAAATGCTGGCATCGCCTCTCCCTATGTCCTCCAAAAGTTGGTACGCAGAACTGCTGTGGTCAATAAGCTCTATACGCTGGCGCTTGGGCCTTGGCAGAGCAAGCCATAGAAAACAAACTGCCAACACTCAGAGGTTGAGCTGCGAGCGGTTTAGAAGGCTTCAAGGTCAGCATCCCTGGCAGAAGTGCGCTTGGACGTTGCAGGACTGAATGCAAAAAGTATTTCATGAGCAGAACTTCGCGATCCCAGCAAATGAAAACACATTCGCAGACTTTTTCACAGTCGAGAATGGTCTCACTCTCACCTAGAACCTAGGAAGGCAGCATCTTGCCGGAACACGCTAATCCACGAAAGCTAAGCTGCAACAACCTGGACTTGACTCTAAAAAGCCGCTGCTTCAAGCGACCATCACAAACAGCTGTGCCCCAAGCAATGTTGTACATTGCCCCACAAAAGATCACGGCTCAAGCAGCCTTTGAAGTCTTCTTCTTACCTTTGGATCCCTTGGAGGCAGACCCATCACCCTTCTTCTTCTTTTGCTTGTCCGCTTTCTTGAGGCCAGAGAAGATAGCATCTGCAGACGCCTGGCCAACCATGCGGGCGACGCCCAAACACAACTTAAAAAGTTAACAGCGCACAAGGTTGAAAGGTGCAATAAGGATCCTTATTTCACCTTTCAACATCTTTCAACCTTATGCCCTCCCACCCTTGCTATATTTTCGGAAACCAAAACCATTTAAACCGTGGAACAATTAGCACTGGGATGATGTTGAACAGGACACCAGGCCTGAGCTTTCTCGTACCATGCGTGTTTGCCTTGAAGCACCGTGAAAACCTTATGGTAGAAGGTCTCATCAGTAGCCCCATCTGATGTGGCCTTCTGCAAAACGCGGTACAACTTCTCTAGCTCTGCGCCATGTTTTTTGAGACTGTTTGCAAGCTCACCGGCGTACTCGACATTGCCAAGCGCGATCGATTTCTTGCGCGCTTTGGCCGCTTCAGAGAGCACGGCTGGCATTCGCTCCAAAGCAAGCCTCAGACCACAGCGAACCCACAGCCGCGCAATGCGTTGCAATTCAGTTCAATAACACACCATAACATACCCCTTTTTGATGGGCACTAGGCTCAGCTAAACGCATGATGCAATAACACACCATAACATACCTTTTTGATCACACCTTTTTGATGGCCGCTAGGCTCACCTAAACGCATGATGCAATCTTGAAGTTGTTGACGCATAAGAACTGAGGGCTAGACTCAATCGGAGTCTTTGGAACCACCTCTTCACTTTCTCCTTTCCCTTTATTCTTGTCTTTGGGATTCTTTTTTGATTTGACCGCTTCAGAGCCCATGAGTTCCACCAACTTTTTGGCGCCTTTCTCTGAGGCAACCTCCATGGCTGGCAGGGCTCCACTGGCGAGGCAGCCTTCTTGAGTGAGGCCGGCCAGCATTTCTGGGTCGCACGAGGCATTGCCAGTGATACTCATCTCAGTAGCGGTGATGTTGTCCTGCCGAATCTTGTTGCCCACAGGCATATAGTACCAAGACTCCTGGGCCCGGGGCAGCTTTGATAAGTTCTGGAAAACAGTTCACCTATACGAGTCAAGAACTAGAAAACAGGGATTAGCTTTGCAAAGAAGAGGGTCCAGCTCGTCATCTGGGAAGTCGGTGTCTTTGTAGTACAGCCCATTGTCAACCCGAGACTGTTTGATTTGGGCCCAGCGTTCTTCACCCACATCGGCAAGAATCTGTCTACCCTTGACAGCTTGCCACTGCTTACGGTTGAGATTCTGCTGTTCCGCTCTTCGTTTCACAGCCAATTCGACATTGGGCCAGTGCCTGTTCCCATCCAACCAAAGTTCGAAGAGGTCCTGTTTCGAGGACATGTACATCAAAGCTAGGGACATGGGGAACGCCTTGGTTCCAGCAGATCGGCAGTAGGAATCCCACTCCTTCTTCATTGTCACACCTTAGAAGCAAGTGGTGGCGGGAACCATCGAACTGGGTAGGGTGGGCTTTTTCGAACCATCAAAACTAAAGGAAACCAAAAAAAACTTGTTGCCATCCAATTGTAAACCAAAGTTCTGTTTCGAACCTGGGCTGGCTTCGTCGCAGCCACAGTGTCTACCAGGTCATGATGCGGGCCCTTCTTGGTTTCTTCAGCTCCTGACTCTCCACCCTTCGATTTCTTCGATTTCTTCTTTTTATCATTTTCTGCGTCCACACCCTTGATCTTGCTTTCTTTGTCTTCTTCACCTGACTCTTCATCCTTGGAGTCTACCTTCTTGCTCTTCTTCTTGTTTTCTTCACCTGACTCTTCATCCTTGGAGTCTACCTTCTTGCTCTTCTTCTTGTTTTCTTCAGCTGGCTCTTCATCCTTGGAATCTGCC